GTAGTCTATACATCCAGAGTCAGAGTGCATGATCACAATAATGCTTTTAAAGTTGCTCTTAACCAATTGTTTGGCTCTGAAAGATCTCTGATAGCTCTCCGCAGCTTGTTTGGGTGAGGTTGTGCTCTGAGATGTTAGACTGGAGAACTTCCAGGGCTCTTGTTTATTCATGTAATTACATTTTTAATTTTTATTTGTGAATCCACTTTTAGCAATAAAATAATTATAGGAAAAAAATGGTTAAGTTCTGAATCTGCAAATCTTGATTAAAAGGTTAGGCTTACTAAGTGTCAGTTGTACTTCATTACATTTTTTAGGGAGAAATAATCATGTCAATATTCATTCCAAATGGTTCCTAGATGATTAACAGGAAATATTAGGGGAAAGGAAATGAAGAAGAAATGTAACGGGTTTGGATAGGAGGTATTTGTGGATAAAACAAAGCAAAACGAACACATAACCCTCGGTGATTTGCTCTGAGTAAATTGTCTTTTGTCAGCTGAACAAAACTTTTAAGACACACACAGTGCTTCATAATATGGGGTGAATCACAGTGACAATTCTACTTCAAAATTATAATCGCCATACTCCATATATACACTAAGGGCAACCTTAATGTTCGGACTTACGTTATTACATTTTTGTAAGGGTAACTAAATTAGAAATGTTAAAATAAACAATATAAGGTATATTTAAGAGACACAAAAAATTTTAGTGGTTGTGTGAATGATGTAATTTACCATGTGCATATTTAATATGTGTATGTGTCTGTGTATGTTTCCCAAATGTAGAGGAAAAACCCAGTCTGGTGAAGAATTATTGCTGTGTAAAATTACAGGAATATCTCATTGGTCATAATATTTATTGACAGGCACTTTCAGCTTTTAATTCATTTCTGAAAATGGGCATTAGCTTATTGTTATTGCCAGTACAGATCATTTAACATGTGCTCAAATCCATAGCACTTAATCTTGTCAACATGCTGTCACATCTAAAAGTATTCCCTCTGGAATTAAAAAGAATCAACACCTGTATAATTTTATAACCAACTTCATTGAGGAGGAAGGTAACAATTGCTAGATGCTTTTCTGGGGCACAAGCAAAACCCTATACACTGTCTTCCTCTTTTCAGGCAAAAACCCTTTTGAGTCTGGAAACAGTTGTCTTCACCTTAAAAGACTTCATTGTGTTTTAAACCATCCTGGCTAAACTGAGACAAGCAGCCACTCCATTGTGTCCGAGCACATGAGTTGGGAACAGAGTTCCCGCGGCAATATCACACTCATGGTAAGATATACAAGGCATATCCAAACAAAGTTTTTTTTTTAATTTTATTGTGATGAAAACTAGAAGCTCTTTTCCCCAACCAACATACTTCATCAAACTATTTACAACCTCTGTAAAACTGTGAGTCTGAAAATACTTTTTCTACTATGACATATGTAACGAATACAGGAAAATATCTCCACTCTTTTTTTTTTTTTAAGATGCAGTATCCTATTTCATTTTCTTATGAAAACCTGAATTTCTATTGCAACTGCACAGTATTTAGCATATTTAAAGTTTCAATGGGTATGGGTTGCTAAACAGACATTACTCTATAATGAAACTGTGAAAATATAGCATTTGTAATTTTTATGTACACTTCTCAACTATAAAATGCAGGCAAAGTCATATATAGCATTATAAGCTGATTCCCTAATAAGGTAAATAACTTACATTTCTAAACAGCATGGATTATTACAAATTCACTCTTTTAAAAAAGTTCTTTGTTGACATCTATTAGCCCACTGGCTGCTGCATATACATGTGTGTATACAGGTGTGCATGGTTTAGGGGTGCCTAGACAAGTAAGTGGAAGGCAGTATGGGGATAAGTAGAAATGTAACATGGAAGACATGACTTACTAAACCCCTTTTCTAAACAAAAAAACCAAATCAAATCCAAAGATCATTTAATGAGATATACTACCTCAGAAAGACTGAAGAAAGAGATTTGGTCAATGAAGTTGTAGAATACATTTACCTATGAAATTTACAGGCATTAGCAAAGAGAAAAATCTGAGGTTGGATTATGGACTATGAGTATTAAGGCTTTCTGGGCCTATGATGATTCAGAAGTTATCTCATGTTCAATCTCTCATATGAAGACCACAACTCAACGTATCAAGGATGCTGGTATTCTGAGCACTGCTTAAATTCTATCAATGCTGACTATAAATGTTAAGACACATTTATAGTAACTTCAAGGCTACATTTCTAAGCAGTCATAATAACATAACAAAGGCGTAACACATTTGAAGGCCTCACCTCACCGCTTTATTCAATTGCAGCTTTGGTAAGTATAATCAATGAAGTACAGAAAAAGGAATACTGCATCTTTATCCATATACATGTTATCATTCTAATGAACTGATTTCAAAGTGCAGAATTCTATTTATGTTTAAAACACAAGTGGCAATTTGAAGTTAAAAAAGCTGTATAAAAATGGACGCAATCTTCATATAACCTATTTCAAATTTTAACCATAATGAAAATGGCCTAATCATCTAGAACTGGAATTTGTAAACACTGTAGCATTTTGTAAGTCTTCCCCCTGACCATCTTCTTCCTATTTTCCACCTCAACTTTAAAGTGAATGAAAAGTGCTTTTTTTTTTTTTTAAGGTGGCTGATGTTACTGTTATTCAACTGCTTTTGAAAATAAATGTCCTATAGTGTTTTGTAAAAGTAATGTCAGGCAGTAGTAGTACAGTCTTCCTGGCAAAGTCATTTGGAATTTCAGCCTAAATGCCTTAATAGAACTTAAGACAAGTTACAGCAGGCTTCTGAGAATTCACACTTGATTGACAGGATGGGGTTGGAGCTGGATTGAGAAGCGTGAATTTTTTTCCAAATGACTTAAGAATATGAGGAGGGGACCTACTAGAGCCTAGCAAATTTTCACTTAAAGTCACCTTCCTTGAGTCCAATCTCTACCATGTAAAGAGGGTCAGGCCGACTGCAGCTTTTCTGCCTTTCTAGCGCCCAGCCACCAATCAAACCGCTTCAAGTTGCCAACTGAAGTCTGCTTCCAGTTAGCAGACCACTGACAAGACCATTTGATTCTGTCCTGTTCTGTTGCTCATCATCCACTGTGCTTTTTCAAGAGGCTAGAATGGACATCAGATGAAATGCCTGAAGATATTTCTATTTAAAATCCAATTCTGTCTTTCCAAAACCACTTTCCTTTTCATGGGGAAACACTTGCAGAGAATGCACCAAGGAGAATTTACTACTCCAGACCAGCCCCAAATAAGTTTCAGTCCTGGAGCTACATCAGTCACTCATTCACTTCTTGTGCTTGGATCCCACCTTAGAAATATCAGTATGTCAAAATGGGGCAATGGTGTAACATTGACAGTGTTAGCAGGTAGTCTACTGTCTCAGTCTGGTTTCCCCATTCGAGGAGTGAGGAGAAAAGCCCACTTCCCTGAATCGTGCCTATGTTATTAGAGAGCAGCAGCTGCTTTCATTCTGTGCTAAATTTAAGTCAAGCTGTCACTCAGGAAGCTCCACTTCCTGACAACCATTTCTGGAACCTGAAAACCATTCCTACCTGTAACACTTTCAAGACCTCTCGCTGCAAAGAAAAGGACTGGCCCTTCTTCTGAAAGCAGAAGAACGAAATCAGGTCTACACTTCAGCTGAGTGACTCACCCAATGGCTGGCAGCTAGGCTCCAGGGCAACAGAGGGTGTCACGCTGCATCCCTGCTCTGTGTTCTTTGCCACTGATTAGTAACCAATGCTGGCATACATTAAGAAGCCTTTTTTCTATTTTGAATGTCACAGGCAATGAGAAGCAGGAGTTGCATACAGTACAGATAGAAAACTTTCCAGTTGGTAAAAAACCGAGTGCTTGGTGGGTAGTAAGTAGATTATGTCAAAGAAGCTATTTATCAATAGAACTGCAGCCCTTGTTGGAGGGAAATTGCCTGATGAATTTTTCAGACCTGGCAGAAAATGTAGAGCACATATTTTTGAAGACAGAATTTGACCTGAAAATCATTATGCTGTTGCTCGAACATTTAAAAAATGTCTTTTAATACCATCCAACACAAATCGTCCTTGTTTCAGTGTTTATAGCTCTTTCTTGCTTCATCAGAATAAGATTATCTGAATTAGAAGACAATCCTAAAAAGGATAATTCTGTAACCGGAAATTATTTCAGAATGTTCAAGCATTTAAAAATGAGCTAGTAATATCGTGAGGTTAATTTGTGCAATTCCCCAAATCAAGTGTTTGTAATTAAAATATATTGCAAAGGTCTATGCTGGCAACCTTTTCTATCTAAGCTATAAAAAATCTTAACAACAACAACAACAATAATAACAAAAACCTCGCTAAGCCTCTCCGCCACGTAAAGCTGAAAAAAACAGCTTGTAGTGGGGGAAAATATGTTAATTTTACTGAGAGAATGCTTGTTGGTGATGTATTGCTTTTTTTTAACCTTAGACTTTGCTAGTTACAAAAGAGGCTCATAATTTCAGGGTGCTGACGAGACTATCATTTCCTCTCACCCTCAGCACAAGAAGAGTGGGCTCAACACCCCCACGGATGCCAATGCAGAACCACTGGGTCTGGGTACGGTTCAGAAAAGGACATCTGGTAGAAGAACTTGCTGGAGAGTCACTTACCCTGGGCTCTCCAAGTGAGACTAGCACCATGTCAGCTTTTCCTCAGGGAGCGTTCCCTTCTCACTGACTCGGTTCCAAGGAGAACTGACCCATTAACCTAAGAGTTAATTCCCTGCTATGCCTCCCTGGCCTTTCTCATCACCAAATAACTGTTTTCAAACAAGAAAAGGGGAGCATAATCTTTAATTGTGGTACTCAACCAAGCAGGACAACAAACAGCAGAAAGATTACCTCAGTGCTGTAAATGTAACCAAGACATCTAGAATGCTGGGGTGTTTTTTACAATCCCTTTAGTAAGCATGAAAATTGGTAACGTGAGTCCTCAGTGAAGTTATTGTAGGAAAGTCCTTTTATTCATTATTGCTTTTCTCCTCAAGAGGCGCATTATTTCCATCTCTGCTTTGTCTGATTTTTCATGTTCACTGACTTTGCCTGGGCAGCCCCACCTCTTACCTTGGTGCCAGTGTGTCTAAGAAAGTTTTTTTCCCCCCCGATTCCTTGTAATCAAATACTAGGGGCAGGAAGAGATGATGCCTAGGTGACAGAACACTGCAATTTGAAATGAGGCAGTAGTTTTTTAGACAGGCTCTTCCTATTCAACTACAGAACAGCTCTGTGCCAGTCCGTGCCAGGGAAGACACCAGGACTAGACTCCGACTGAAATGTTGCTGCCCCTCTGCGCGAACAGATGAACAAAACAGAATCAAAACAAAACAAAAACAATCAACGACAAACAAATGAAAGATTCAATGTTGGTTTTCTTCGGGGCATGGCAAAATGACAAGTTGCGGGTGATAGCTAGTCGCCGCCATCACTATCGCAAAGGGCTGCCTGAGTCCCCTTTATTTTCAGGTAATGGAACCTCTCCAACAGCTGCTTCTTCTCTACTTTCATGCTGCTTGCTGGTAACAGATTGGATGTGTGTTCTATCTTACTCTGATAGTAACTACCATTTTTTGTAAAAAGGGGTGAAAGGGTGGGATGATGGGAGAATAATCCAAATTTAAAAGGTCTTGTTCTAGCCATCAATTTGTGGTAGATGACCTTTAAAGTATCAATAACAAAACGTCTGACAGCTCAGAAAATGTACAAGCTACAAACATCTTTAAATGGCAGAGTACACAGCATGGAAAACAATGCCTGTCTCTCCAGCATTTGTGTCACGGATCTCCCAGGCCAGCGTGAAGACGTTTCTCGTGGAGTCGTGATGGGGGTTACCTTCAGACCAAAAGGAGAAGTGTTACTTCTTTTTCCTGCTCTGGTTTCAGACATCGTGGGATGGTGATGCCCTTTTGCGTTAACACTGTGATTGGGATTCAGCCCTGCTGAATTGGGTGCCGCTAAGAGATCCAGCTCTTATGCTCAGCTGGACACGCAGCATTCTTCACACTAGCATATGCCTCCGGCGGTGCAGTGCCAAGTGATCTGAGCGGGAAAAGCTGCGGTCACAGTCCGCGCACTTGAATGGCTTCACTCCCGTGTGTTTGCGGTAATGCCTTGTCAGTTCATCCGAACGAGCGAACTTCCAGGTGCAGCCTTCCCAGGTACACTTGTAGGGCTTCTCTCCTGGAAGAGACAAAGACACACCTTGGTGTTCCACTGCTTACCCATAATAACCAAGCCAGGACTACAGTTCGGGAAACTGTTGTTCTCAGAGGGTTTTCGGTTTGGCAATCTTTTCTCAGGACACATTATCATTCTGCCAGCAGGAGGGGGTCAGACAGGTGGGGGTTTCGATTCTGTCTCTCCTGCTGTGACATCTGACAAGTTAACACTTGCATCCACAATTATGGGTTTGCTGTTTCTAGGCAAAGTGGCAGAAGGCATTTTGGGTATCATCATCACTGTTAGACTAAAAGGGCACTTCACAGATTTATCTTGGTTCATTGGAATCCTCTGAAAGCACTCTAAAGGAAAATTCATTATATTCTGCTTTAATAACTCCACACCCTTCCTCCCCCCCCCTCAATGTTTATCATATAGATGACCTAGACCCTTCTAGGGCACAAAATCCATTTGTCACTGAGAATATACACTACAAGGGGAAGTATCATGTTGTCCCCCCCAAATTAGTATGCATACACACTGTTTATAAACACCCACATTTTTGCTTATCCGTTGGGAAAGAATCCTAGATATCTTAATACTGTAATATTTAAATGTTGTCAGTGATCAAGAATTAGGGCAAGCCCTGAGGAAGCATTGAGAGGGTCCGAGTGTTGAAATTCATGATTAAAAAAAAAAAAAACCATCACAAGTATGTAATCTGACCAGGTTTCTCAGTCAACTTGTAAGAACAGTAAAATATGCAAAGGCTTTGCTGGGAAAAGATACAGTAGCCATTGTCCACATGAGCTCCCAGGGGCAGCGGGACAATAGTTGACCTAGGTGTGCTTTTTCCTGGCTTTCATTCAGAGTGGAAGCCCTGTCCCCATGCAACCCCACAAAACTCCTCTCTCTTCTCTCCTTCCATCCAGTGCTCAACTGCATGCTTCATGGTCACACATGGACTCCAGTGAAAAGGCTTATAACAAAGAAGGGAGCTACTTACTGGCCCTTATGTCTACAGCTGCAAATCTAACCCACTGTAGAGATGAGAAAACTGAGGCACAATGTATACACTAGCTTGACCAAGGCTGCTGAAAAAGATGTGATTGGCTCTAAGTTCAACAATTTTCACTACGCTGCAGTGGAATGGATAATTCTTTCCCCACGTAAACTTTGTCTCATCCTCAAAGTTACTCAAACACACATACACACACACACACACACACACACACGTTGAAACTAATAAGCTCTGTGAAAGTACAAGTAATGCCTACACAGGAAAACTAAACCAAACTCAGCCCAACATTTACATTCAACTTTACATAAACACTGTTTCTGTGAGTTCTTTTAGGATCAAGTGGTCCTTTCAGAAGTAGAGTGAATAGTACACACTAGTTAAATCTAGAAATATTGATGCACTAATTGTGGCCCACAGAAAATTCCAGGTTACTCTGAAAGGGTTCCATTCAACCAGAAGCTTAATGACTGAATTAAGTCACAACCTCAACTTCTGACTCATCCTGTCTATGAAGACAAAAGTCTACATTTGCAGATGTCTACTGACCAGAGATAACCAAATATGTTAAGAACAAATAGCAAATTCCCAACTTAAAAGCTTACATCTAGATAGCATAGTAATGGCAAATCTTGACATGCTTTTCTTTATGTCATCCTTACGTTTCTGAAATTTACATCATGAGCATGGGTTCTAATAAGCTGAGCTAGATATAAATCATGTATTCAAAAATACATACACCCTTGGGGTACTGCGCTCAGTTATCTGACTGCAACTCACAGGCACTTCTTCAATATCTTTTGTGTTATGATGGAACCAGCTACCAAGAGTGTAAGGCCTGAGGAGGGAGGAATAAATGAATGTCTTCAAGGAGGAAAACATTTCTCTTTTATGTGGTAGGAGGATGTGTACCTCTGTCTTGCTAAGAAAGACTGAGATTAGAATCACTGCTAGAATATTCACTTTGCCATTCCAGACAGAGGAAGAAGCAGCAACACCAGAACCAAGATGGACATGGAATTGAACAGGATCAAAGAGAAAGAGATGTCCTCTCCGACTGGTATGGTCCATAGTCACAGGATAGGTGACTGACAACTGGTTATACTTCATGATGAATAAGGGATTGGCCTCACAACTTATCTATGATGGTCTCTAGGAACAAGAAAATACTGGCTGAAATATGATGTGGATGAGAGAAAAAAAGAGGTGAGTGCTGAGTTATCTCAAACTGACGAATGACCAGAATATTACAGCAAACTTGACTGCTTAACTCATAATACTGAAGAGTGTGAAAAGATGGAGGGAAAAGTATGGCATCAGATGAATGCCATGTCAGAAGGGTAGCACTGGCTGGCATGGTTTACCACTGAGACAGTTAATTGTCACAAATGTTCTCTAGATTTCTTCACTCAGCCAAGTCAGCACTTAATATTCTCTGATAACCGTCACACTTTGACTTTCATGTTGGCTGTCTAATAATGGTATCTGTAGTCTTTATATTTGAAAATCTATAACTGGGCAGTGAACGATGACTCGCAGGGCACAGTAAGTCTATGACCTGGTTTTTATGCAACATGTCAGCTAAGAATGGTTTTTATATTTTTAAACATTTAGAAGAAAAACCAACAGAGAAGTATTTCATGGTGTGTGAAAATTACATGAAATTCAAATGTTAGTGTCCATAAATTAGTTTTTATTAGCACACAGCCCTATTTATTTATGTATTATTTATGGCTGCTTTCCAGTAATGGCAGAATTGAGAGCTAGAACAGGCCTGCAATGCCTAAAATATTTATTATTGGACCCTTCACTGAAAATTTGCTGACCCTTGATTTAAGAGGCAGGCATCTCTGCTTTTTGTAGGCTTCCTGATTAGAACTGCGGTATATAAGACATATTGTTGTTTGGGATAAGGCGGTGAATTGACTATGGAATAATCACTTATTTTCAACTTAGATTCCTCAATTAAAACTCTAGATGTCCTCTCAGTGATAAGCTAGGTTGTTTTGTGGCAATACTATAAGTTGAATATTTTGGACAAAAGGAAGTGATTCTCTGAAAAGAATTTGTCATTTGATTTTACATATCAAACCACAATGAGGCTCTAGGAGAAGACCCACATCAAAAATACCAGAAACAGTAAGTATTGTGATGGGTAGAGAAAAAGGATGTAGGTGGTTTCTACTACTATAAAAAGCAATATGTTTCTCAAAATAGTAATAAAAATTTTTCCAGATCACCCAAAATTCAACTCCTTAGTATTTATGAATTTGGAATACATACACTCCTATGTTCACTGTGGAACTTGGCTTACAACAGCCAAGTTATGGAAACAGCCTAAGTGCCCGATAACAGATGAGGGGGTTAAGAAGACATGGTACAGATATACAGTGGAATAGTACTCCGTTACGATAAGATGAAATCCTACCATTTGTTTTCACATAGATAGATCTTGAGGATATTATACTAAGTGAAATCAGCCAGTGAGGAAAGACAAATACCATATGATTTTACTCGTGTAATACAGAGAAAATAAACATATGACCCAAATAAAACAAAAACAAACTTTGTAACTGTAAGATGAATAGGTGATTATCAGAGTAGAAAGTGGAACCAAGGGTACTCTTGGGGTAAAGGACAGAACCGAACATTGAATGGTGAATTCAGTGTAGCATACACAGGTAGATTTTCAAGATGTACCTAGAAAACATATATATACACACACTCACACACACACATATATATATATATATATATATATAAATAAAATATATATATTAAATGTTATAATGCAATATTAGTTAAAAAAATATACACATATAACAAAACAAAGCAATGACAACAAACAAAGTTGGAGCTCAGATGCTTCATTTGTCTTCAAACTGGTTATTTCACTATTTTAAAGGCAGGGTGTGGGGCCAGAAAGGAAGTGCCAACTGATCATGAGGCTTTCTGTGAATCCACAGAAAGCTGACTCTAGTTAATACACTGTTACTTTTTGAAAGCTGCTGAAGGAGTAAATCTTTCTCATCCCAAGAATAAAAAAAACCCTGAAACTATGTGTGGTGGTAGATGTTAAATACACTAGTTAGAATGATCATTTATGACATACAAATACAGAGTCATTACATTGCACACCCCAAACAAATGTTATATTACATTTTTGCAAAAAGACAAGGAAAAAGGCCTAAGATATTCTAGAGGTGGATATGTCTGTAATAATGAATGAAACGAATGAAAACTGAATATAAAGTTATTAGGGCATAAGTGATTAATGAAGGCATATAATATAGAATATAAACCTCTTTGGGGAGTGGAGGGAGGGTGGAAGTATATCAGAAAATAGCAAATATCTGGGTAAAGAATTCTTGAAATTTTTCTTACAAAAATACAAACTTTTTTAATATCCAAAAAAACTTGATGCACAGCATTCTTTCCCTCCACTGCCTCATTCATTAAATTGGAATCTGGGTAATCTTTCCATGTTTAAAAGAATAAAACAAGACCTTCAAATCTGTCTTCAAAATCAGAGGCTGAGATGGGCGTGGCGGGTGAGAGAGGCCAGGAGAGCTGGCTTATGCCTCCTGCTCAAGAGATACCCACATTTCAATTATATCTGCCCTTCCGGGGGTGGGGTGGGGGGAAACAAAAGAAAAAACAAAAAAGCAAGTGCTCTTTGTACTCGTCAGGTTTTAGAAAGGGATTAAAGAACAATTTTAGTGGCCACTGCATTGTGTTAAATGGTGCATTCTATTTTATGTTTGTACTTTCAAGCAATTCAAAGCGTACAATCTTACAAACAAAGACAACAGAAAGAAACTTCATGATGTGAGTAAAAATTAATTGAAAGGATCAGTTTGTAAGACTTACAGTGGTATGCACAGGTAAGTGAGCCCAGAAAGGACCCACTGAAGAGAAGACAGAATTCTTTTTCCATTCTTTCTTTTCCTTAGAGTCTTGTTAGAAAATAGAAAGCTAAATTTAATACGAAAAAGCAGGGGCA